ACGACAATGTGAATGTGCTCAAAGCACAAAACTGTACATTTAAACTAGTTTAAAATGGTAAATTTTATCTTATATATTTAACGAAAATTTTTAAAGTGGAAAAAAAAGTCAATTTTTATTGAATTTGGAAATTCAAAGATTCACTATTCCAAGTTTACTTCTATATGAAGAATGACTGACAGGTTGTTTTCTTGCTTAACTGATAATTCCTTTATTCATTGAATACACAGAAAATTAAATACTCTTTTCTTTTATTTTAGTGAGACTGCAGATTGTACCCCCAGCACACATGCTAATATATCACAAGGTTGGATTTATTACTTTTAATTTAAATTAGAAAATATTCAAAAGAAGACTGTTTACTATTTTGATAATTTTTTAAGTTATCAAATCTAAAATTGATACTGTTTATTTTTCCCCCGTTAGCTTATCTACTTTAGGAAAATGATCCAGTTCTACATCACTGAAGTGTTAAAATGAGCCAACTAGTTTGCCTTATTTGAATTGCCATTAAAATGTTATTAATGATTTTGGTCAAAAATGTGGTATGATATAAATTTACATTTACCATGCTCCTGTAAGAAATATCAACAAAATAAAGATATATCATATGACAGTTTCTAAGCCAGAACAAGTGACATTAGGATTTAATAATTTTTTGAGAGGTTAGTCTCCTTTGCTCTTAGCCCTACCAAAATACACCCACACATACACACGCGCACACACGCACACACACACACGGCTTTTAAAGCTAAATTTATTTGTTCACATTAAAATCTGGCTAGTTTAGACCTCACTTTTTAATCTTTTAGTACTGACTCCTTCAAACACTTGTGAGGACTTTTTGATTCTCTGTTGAATCCAAAGCAGATCAATGTGGTTATAACAATAATAGTAAGTACAAGAGATAGAGTGCTGTGTTTACTGTTAAGTGGCCTTGTAATTCAAACCACAGATTTACACTGGCTATTTCAAACATATAACCTACTCCAGGAGTGAGTTGAGAAACATATTCTCTTATGGAAAGTGGAAGTGGAAATAATTTTCATTAAGATAATTCATAGTATAACAATAAATATGCCAGAATTCTATGAACACACCATAACCAGAAGGTGTCACAATAATCATATGATACCTATATTATGAAATCACAGGCTATTATGTTTTTTATTTTCCAACTTTGTTGCAATGATCATGCTTAATTCTTATATCCTTCAATAATATTGCAATTGTCTAATTAAATCATTTACTTATTCATTCAAAGATTTACTGATCATCTCCTTTGTGTCACATCACATGTGAGAACAAGCCTGACAAAGTCCTTGATTTCATAGCATTTACATTGTAACTTAGGGCAGGGAGTCAACGGGTAAGGACATAAACAAGATAATTTCAGATAATAAATGTTTTCCTTGTTATTTGTGACAAAAACCAAAGAAATTGCAATGGCTTGCAAAACCCTACATCACCTGGACATTACCCCAACCCCCTAATATCTCTAACCACCTCTTTTATTTCTCCTCCTGGCTCACTCTGCTCCAGTGTCACCGACCTCCTTGCTGCTCCTTAGACATTCTAGGCTATCATTCAGGGCTTTAGCACTTACTGATCCTCCTGCAGTGCTTTTCCTCCTATATCTGCACTGCTCATTCCTCACCTTCGGATCTTTACTCTAATGTCACCTTCTCAATGAGGTCTTCATTCCCACCATGCCACTAATTCACTTCTCTGTTTGTTTTTCACCCTGGCACTTATGATTATCTGACTGTTAATTGTTTTTTCACTATCTCGCTCTAGAATGTAAGATCCATGAAGATCACAGCTGTATTTCCAAGAGCCTAAATTGGCATATAATAGAAGAAGGCATTTAATAAAATAGGAGAGACCATGGGAATAACTAGCAGGGAAAGGGGACACAAAAATTCTGTTTGGGTTATGTTGAAATTGAGGTATCCATTAGATATTCAAGTTGATGTGTTGCATAATCAATAGGATGTCTAAATCAGTTCAATTACATGCATATAGAGTCAGACACTTTAGAAAGATTATCAACAATGAAATTTTACCAATTTTGTCAGGTCAAATAATCAGTCACTCTCATATTTGAGTTAATTGAGGTTTTACCGCTGCTTTCTTTTTTTTTTTT